CTGCTCCAACTCCAATCAAGAAGAAGGTCCCCGAAGAAGAGAAGCCTGCTGAGGAGAAACCAGCAGAAGAACAGAAGCCTGCTGAGGAAATGAAACCTGCAGAGGAAGTGAAGCCACTGGTAGAGGAGAAACTGGTGGAGGTCACCGAAAAGCGTGAAGTTACGATTGAAGAAATCGCAGAAGCCAGTGCCATCATCGAAGCTATCTTCACAAAGACTGAAGAAATATCAGGTCTTGAAATCGACCTCATCACCAGCCCATACGATTCTGTTGCTCACACTGCTCCAACTCCAATCAAGAAGAAGGTCCCCGAAGAAGAGACTCACCCCCCTGCTGAGAGAATACACCAGCAGAGAACACAAGCCGCTGACTTTCGACAGAAGCCTTGCTCGCATGGAAACTGAACAACCTTGCAGATGCGAAGACTGCAACGCCACTGGTACGAGGATGACCTGTTGGACCCGGTCACCAGAAAGCGTAAGCAAGTTACGATTGAAGAAATCGCAGAAGCCAGTGCCATCATCGAAGCTATCTTCACAAAGACTGAAGAAATATCAGGTCTTGAAATCGACCTCATCACCAGCCCATACGATTCTGTTGCTCACACTGCTCCAACTCCAATCAAGAAGAAGGTCCCCGAAGAAGAGAAGCCTGCTGAGGAGAAACCAGCAGAAGAACAGAAGCCTGCTGAGGAACAGAAGCCTGCTGAGGAAATGAAACCTGCAGAGGAAGTGAAGCCACTGGTAGACCGCACAACTGTCGAGCGTCACCCGCAACGACAAGGTTACTATTCGAAAAGCACTTCGGCACCCCTGGAACGCCAGGCCCACACCCAAGCCTACTCTTCCACAAAGACTGCAAGAACTACCCAGTCTTAGGAAATCCGTACCTCATCCACACACTCATCCACTCTCCCCCCCCCCCCCCGTACCCATTCCCTGTTGCTTCCCACATCCTCTCACACTGCTCCAACTCCAATCAAGAAGAAGGTCCCCGAAGAACAGAAGCCTGCTGAGGAGAAACCAGCAGAAGAACAGAAGCCTGCTGAGGAACAGAAGCCTGCTGAGGAAATGAAACCTGCAGAGGAAGTGAAGCCACTGGTAGAGGAGAAACTGGTGGAGGTCACCGAAAACAGAATCGTATGGGCTGGTGATGAGGTCGATTTCAAGACCTGATATTTCTTCAGTCTTTGTGAAGATAGCTTCGATGGTGGCACTGGCTTCTGCGATTTCTTCAATCGTAACTTCACGCTTTTCGGTGACCTCCACCAGTTTCTCCTCTACCAGTGGCTTCACTTGCTCTGTTGGCTTCTTTTCAATCGTAACTTCCTCCTTAGTTAGCACTTCTGCCATGTATTTCTTTTCTGTAACTTCTCGAATTTCTTGCTCATCCCATGCTTTCGGATATTCGGCGGCTTCCAGGTGTTCTGCCTTCCATGACTCTTCTCCTTTTAAAAATTTAATTTTTTCAGTGAACTTCTCTTCACCTTTCGTTTCTTTCTTAGGCTCTGCGAGTTCCATAGTTCTTATGGTTTCTTGATACTGAACATCTCCTGTCTGCTGGAGTTCGTATCTTTCTTTGCAAGCATGAGCTGCTACAGCTTGCATGAATACTTCGAAGAAGGTGCCGATAACATCAATTTCCAAGCAAGCTCTTTCTTCCATCTTTGTGAGCACAGCCTCTGTTGTTGCATCTTCTTCTTCTCAATATTTCCTCTCGCGGTAATTCCTACAAATGTTTAGCTGTCCTTCTCTTTACTTTTATCCGCTCGATTAAATGTTTTACTGAGTAATAAAGCTTCTGACATTACCAAAAGTTCTAACCTTAATATTCTTTTTTCTGCTGTCGTGTTTCTTTTCTGTTTTTTGTTTGAAATATTGTGTTGTTTCTCAAAAATTGTTCAAAGCGACTACGTTCCACACCATTACCGTCGAAGGTAAAATTCCTGTTGAGGCTGTTGCTTTTATTTAAGCTGACAAAACTATTTTTCATTTTATCCGTTTTGACAATCTTCATGTCTAACCAGCCCCACTTCTCCTGAATGAGTGTAATAGCGCGCCTGATTACGAATATGAGACTCATTCTTGGCTCTGGCGCCATTTGGCACAGAAAGCGGACTTTCCCTGAAGTTTTCATCAAACCTGGTGTGACCTGGTGCATAGAGATTACTTAATACCTGGTTACAAATATAACATTCGTTTTTGACCCTAGCGCCTAATATTTTACCTTAGCCCATTAATTTGCCAAGTATTTCTGACGCCTCCTAGCTTTCCTATATAACCGTGGTTAAAGTTATCGGCGATGGGAACTCTGGGTGGGTAAATTACGCGTCGTGTGGCAAAATTTGAGGTCTGTAAGATCACAAGGTGAGCCCGTCAGTCACCTCCGAGTCTCCTCAGACAATAGGCGGCCAAATGGCGCCAGATTCAGAAACGACTGTCATATTCGTAAACAGGAACAATAAATAACCCCTTTATGCAAGTTTAGATCGAAAGTGGTGAAAACCGCCGTCGTGACAAAGTGGCACCAACTGGCGCCATAGCGCTATTGTCAAGAAATGAATATCATATCTGTAATCAAGGCTCAGGGCAGAAGTGGTGTAGTGCTAAGCAGGGCTATCTACTACGCGCGCAGTATGCCGGTGCGTTTAGGCCGGAAGACTTCCATCCCTCCGGGGTCGGTTAATTGGTACCAGACTTGTCTGGGAGGATAAAAAACACTGACTTGTACATCGGCTGGCCCCCGCAAGTCATTGTATAGGCCACATCGCATTCAAACGCCACTACGAACATTACAAATGGAAGTAGAATGCGTGCCGCATCCCAAAAAGGGATTGATCAACGCCGAATGCTACGAGTTTATCAATCCTTATCGTTTGATCAGGGCATCGAATTACCTCAATGAGCCAAGTTCTGACGGAAGCTAAAATTTCTAAGGTTCGTGGGAAGCAATAATGGAATGGTACCGATTTTTTCACCGAACATTTTTGGAGCTGCACGGAATTTCTTTGAGAAACTGCTCCTTTTCATCTAATTATTTGTTGTATTCACTTGTTCATTCATTTTTCTGCCCATTCTGATCTCCAATTAATAAAAAAGGCAAGTAAGTTTCGCAAGAATTTACCATGCTAAATCTTACCTGCTTTTTGGTAATTTCCATAGAATCGCTTCCTAGAACTCGGGTCACGGTAGCCTGGGTTGTACAGGTGCCATAATCGTTTTTTGCAACGCACAATATATTCGTTGCTCCTGTCTTCAGATTGTGTACAGTGAGAATGCCGATACCGTCCTCATAGATGACGCTTTTGTCGCTTAAATAGATGTTCTCATATATTTTACCAACTACTCACTATGGCTGATATAGGCCGATGTCAGACTTTGCGAATCGCGCGATTCGCTAGCGTCTGCGGTCGCGTTGCGGCCAGTGAATCACTCAATTGGCTGGTACCGCAACGCGACCGCGGACGCTAGCGAATCGCGCGATTCGCAAAGTCTAACATCGGCCATAACGTTCCCATGATAAAAGTAAAACTTACCCGTTTCCAGTTACATTTTCACCGTCAATGCTCCATTGTAACGTCGCTGCTGGTGATGATACTACCACAACTCGTAACGTTAACGAGTTCTTTTCCGTCATCTGATCATACAGTGGATGAATAAAATATGGTTTTTGCCCTAGGAACGTTGATGTCATCCCTTCGACAGGAATCTTCGACACGACACAGCGACATTCTGCCTTTCCTTTTGAGTTTGTTGCAATGCATTGGATGTCATGGGAAGAGCTCGTAACAAGAATTTGCGTTTGAGCCACTCCATTGTCAAATGTTGTTCTGAAAACAGTGAAGTTTTTATTTCAAAGCGTTCCAAACAAGCGGTCAATCAGGGAAGGATGGAGAGACATGACGTGATTGATCGAGGAAGAGGGGGGAGTGAAGGAGATTGGAGGAAAAGAAGAGTCATGAAAAAGGAACCGCCAGGACGTCAAATAGACGGAGAAGTGTCTACGTGAAATTTTGTAGAAATTTTGCATCGAAAGTTCTCTTGCATTTTCCCTCTGACCCAAATACGGTGGGTTGTGCTCAAAATGAAGAAGAAAGATCAAAGCACTCGCCTTTCCGTTTGCAGTTCTCCGTCGACGAACCACGTCACTTCTGGCACCGGCTCGCCTTCAACAATACACTTCAAAGTTCACTTCTTCAGCACACGTACATATATTTCTTCAGTGGAATAATGAAACGCGGACTCTGGCCGAGATCGTGCAATGAGGACTCGGAGCGGTCTCTTGTCAGACAACAGTGCGTTTCTGCTCGGCCATGGCAGTTTGTGGCGATACACGACACACGAAGTTCATCTCGTTGAATGTTGCGAATTTTCAGGATGGCTATCCCGTCCTCGTAGATAATGCTGTGATTCCTGAAATTACTTTTTCAGTTTGGTCATAGGTGGGAGATAAAATGACGGTACCCGTAGAAAACCCGTCGCGCGGCGTGAAGGCAGAGACGGAAACTTGTGAGCGGACGAGTCGCAGTGTGTACGGTATGTTGTGAGACGTACATTTTATTCAAACTAACAATTCGCTACAGTACGCGAAACAACTCGTCCACCGACCAGTCTGCGTCTCTGCCTCTCGCCGGGCGACTGGCCCCATGTTGGACACCCGAAAAATGACTCTTTCTGAACTTACTCGTCTTCGGTAACAATTGCCTTCGCCTTAAACGCCTCCACCAAGCTGCGGTGAGTGTTTGGCCATGCCTAAGAGCACTCAGGTGCAAGTGTTTCCTTTGAAATCACCATCCTCCACTGGAAGAAGGAAGAACGGTTGTTGTCCATCGATGGCCTTCATAGAAGATCGCTCCGTGGCCTCTTGGGGTTCTTCAGTTTTATCAGCTACTTCAGAAGAAGCGAATGTGAATGTCGTCGCGGATTTGTGTGGGCTCAGCACAACCGCGTCCACTTCTCCACTGGCGTCTTCGCGGTCGCGTAGATAACTTCGTGCCAGATCGCGCTTTATGCTCGCAGCTACATCATCTGAATACAATCGCTCATGGGAGTTCATCAGGTCAGCGCACCGAACTTTACCACCTCAATACCTCCAATCGCCGTCGCTGCGGCAACCCTTTTCGATCTCTTTTCTTCCAAACTAGAGCACTTAATGGAGGATTTCACAAAAGTTGGTGGTCGAAGAGGATAAATCTACCTAGTAGGAAGGCTTTCTAAGGGTGTAAACCAAACCCGCGCCACTCCACTCCCACCGATTGACTGACCCTCGCCGTCTGACTCCAGCTACTCTAGCAGAGAGAGAGAAAGAGATTTAGCGTTGAAGAGGGCAGCAGCGATGAGGGTTGCATATGTGCAAATCAAACGGGCCATAGGAGGGTTTCCATTTTCATGCCGAAGCAGGTTCCTCATGAACCCACTTGACCAGGGTGAATAACGGTCGAGAAATTCCTCGACCATCGTTCTCTGCTGTGCGGAGTAGAGCCGATAGTGAATGTACGCGCGGAGAGCACAGACGGCTCGCGGGTGGCGAGAGTAATATCCGCGCGCGAGAACGTAAAGGATCAGGCGAAATCCTCGAATTGCCGGTTGAGCAAATCCTTAAGCATAATCTTCACGCCTGCCCGTGACACACCTTCTATCCTTACGTTATTTTTAATGGGCTAAGCTTTTCAAACATAAAACTCCACCTCTTAGTGGACGTATCATTCTACCGTGATACTCGTCCCTCTGAGTTTTTGACCAAACTCGTAGCCTTCGGGTGCGGCATCCCGTTACAAACAAGCAAGCCTCCATTCGACGACACGTGACAGAATGTTTTTTTTTTTCACTAAGTCGAAGATAGGCACTCAAAAGGGTTTTCTGAACCTCGAAGGATAACCGGTCCCCCGTCGCCCACCCCAGCAGGGTTTGAAAGAAGACAACCATTTCACCCTCATTCCGACCTTTTCTGATATCTGCTGTGACATTATCCTTTGGGGAACATCTCCAACCCTCCACATGGCCCACCTAAATTCTTGGTGATGGGATTAAGGGCTCCGGTAGGACTGACTAAACAGCCTGGAGTTTACCGCCGAGCAAGAGACAGGGTTGGGGTGGGGGGGGGGTGGGTGGTCGACCCCGAACTTGCCATGCTGGCGGGGTCAACCGCAGCGGAGATACATTCGCTCAACCAGTCTAGCCGCTACAGCGGAACTTTTTTGCTTCGTTTATAGCACAGTGAGAACGGAACATAAAAGTCCTTTGCTAACCTTCGACGATGACGCCTTGCAAGTGGCTGTCTGCATTCCGAAGCTGTTCGCAACAGTACACGAAAATATGGCGTTATCTTCAAGTGTTGTGCATTCCAATCGGAGAATTGTGACCCCGTCTTCAGTAATGATGTTATAATTCCTGATGAAATATATAGATAATTAATAGGGAATCAATTCAATGGCTTCTAAGTTTTTCGTGCAAATGAGTTCTTGAAGTAAGTGTAAAGCAACAAATCTCAGCATGATTTCCTCATAATGGAATAATGGAATAGAGTCTCCGCGTCTCATCCAGTAGGGTGGGAGGGGGGGCGAAAATTGTGCGAAAATTCATATCGCCCAAACTGATCCAATTTTTCGCGAGGAAAGAAAGCTTCGCCAATGGGTGTGAGACAACATGCGCAGTTATTTATTCTCCCCTGGCGAACTTTGGAATTACGTAACGGCACACTGTCGCACCACACGTGCCCGCGCCTTGCTGGCCAATGGGAAACCCATTGTCCCATTTCATTAAAAGCTGAAGAATAATTTCCGTACTTGTTCATATCCACAAGATTGCCATCTTTCTCCCATGTAACAGCTGGCAGCGGTTGTCCACTGAATGTGCACTTCAACTGTATGTTCTCGTTGACCTGAAAAGATCTCAGAACTTGCATTAGAAATTCAGGCCACAAGCTCCCCCTAAATAAACGGCATATTGTTGAAGGTGTTCATCTCGTTTTCTTCCCCTCCCCTCACCCCTCCCTCCTAAACTCACACTATCCCTCGGATGGTCTACTTGAATGATTACAGCGGTATTATGCTGAATTCTCTTAGGTTGGTTTACTAAAGGTAGTAGGTTGGGTCAGTGAACTATCTGCACTGACACTAGTTGTTTTCGCTATTTTGTTCCGGATTTTGAGAAATCGCGTACACGAGTAAATAAGGCTAACATGCATTATGTGGCAAACAAAACATGACAAAAAAGGGGAGTTATTGACTTTCAACCCATCGAATTTCTACCCTCGTCTCAAATTCGGGCGAACGCGAGTTGTAAAGGTACGGTGGCCTCCTACAGCGAATGGCGAGGGCGCGGCGATGCATGCAATGCCGCGTTTATCGCGCGGTGGAGCTCCTTGACACTTGTCATCCCTCCCATCGGCCATCCAACAGTGCGTTCCTAATCCATATCTATTTATTATTCCGAAGCAAGTGAACGAAATAAGGAACAAAGCCGGGCTGTGGTCCACTCATGGAGTCGAAGCGCTTAGATTTAGTACCAAAAGATCTAGGTTAAAGGCACAATCCAGGCAGGAGGTGTGTGAACGATTCCCTTCGTATCTGCAGTAACAGATCTTCTTCGAAGCATTCCCAGCTGTGGACTTCTCGCACGGATCACCCCACATGCCGCCAGCCCTTGCAAAATATCAGCTGAGCAGCTTGCATTGTTCCATACGTCTGTAGCAGGCTGCTGTCTGGCGCTCTCTTGCATCTGTTGCGTTCTCTCGTTTCCTGTTCTCCTTTCCTCCTCAGCCTCTCGCTGCCTCAAACAGTCGCACTACGGAGGTGAACAAACCCATAATTTAAGCGTTTTCAAATCTTTTCATTTTTCCTACACTGCTCACAAACTTTACACCAATACTTCCAGGATCTAACTGGTCGACAGCATCCACACCAGTTAGATCCTGTGACATGCCTTCAAACAAGATCCACGAACCTTTGAATAAACTTGAGGAGGCATGTTACTATGAAACTAGGAGCCTGTCCTGCAGCAGATGATGCGCTGCTGTAGTCCGACTCATCGGGAGAAGGCGATAGGCGTTCCGGAACCGATGAATCCACCTGAAGATAAAAGTATAACATGTATCCCACGCTTTGAAATTTATTTTATCAAATGTTGCGGAACTCAAAAACAAAAAGAAGCATCCGGGAGAGTCCTGCTCCCGTTGAAGTCCTTCACCTCTTTTTAAAAAGCACATGCTTCACAAGACTTACCCCTGAAGTGAACGTGACGGCCTGGAAGTCACGATGTGTGCTATCCTTCACGACGAGCTCGACGTCCTCTTGGAATGGAATATTTGTCAGATGAATCTCCGTTGTACGAGTATTTTCATCTAATTCTGGAAATGGCGTAGTAAATCCAGTGAGTGAATGGAACGCTGAATTCTGTTCAACTTCTGAGGAGGCCGAAAGTCTTACTTTATACTCCGAAATTTCGGCATGTAAACTCCTCACCTTCAGGTAAAACAACCACGTTTGATTCGATTTTACTGCCTCCTGCTGAATTCTTCGCCTCGCATGTGAACACGCCACTCCATTTTTCGGTACAATTGCAGATCTCGAGGAAACTCACACCGTCTTCGTAAACCATGTTGAGAGTGTTCTTAAGTATGTTAGATATTTCGTCTCGGGAAAAATAACTTTTTGACATAGTAAGTGAAGTTTTCCTCGACGAAACTTAATAAGCTATGGGAATAATTTATGTTTCTCATTTCTACTAGCATCACGGCGGCTGCGCAAACCGCCCGCGTCTGTTCAGCATTCACCAACCTAGTCAGGACATTTTCATCAAGCGTAGCAAAGCTTGTACATACTTGGCGTGGTGCGACGTATAAATTCATTATTAAATAGAGTTCATATAGCGTCGCAGCCACGCCAAGTATGTACAAGCTTTGCTATGCTTCATGAAAATGTTCATGTTAAGTGATGAAAGCTGAACAAACGCGGGCGGTTGCGCAGCGTGACAGCACAAAAAAGGAAAAAAGTCTGAGGTAGCGTTCATAGTTCGCGATCGTATATGCGACTAGACGATTGAGCGATTAGTCCATAAGAAAAAGGCGACTAGGCAAGTAACACTGCATATCGATGGCTGCTCCGCCCACCATGCGATCACTGCTACTGCCTACCGCTAATCGTACACTTTTCCTCACCTAATCGTTCAATCGCGTATTCGCCCAATCGCATATACGATCGCGAACTATGAACGCTGCCTCAGACTTTTCTTTTTTTATGAAGCTACCTATTTTCTTTGATTGATACGAGAAGAATTCATGTAACCACTGATCTACCTCTGACCAATTACAAAAATTTTCTCGGAAGCCCAGCGCAAGAAATTGGCTTACTTTATTGGGTTGAGGACGTTGCCGTTGTGATACCATACGACTTGCGGCAGCGGCACACCCGTCACCACCACCTTCAGGAGAACTCGAGTGTTCTGCCTGACTTCGTACGTTGGTTGTAAGCGCGATACGAACTCCGGTGGACTATAGAGACAACTGCTCGAGAGCGACGTCAGTGTGTCGTCGATGGTAGATGCTTCTGAAATGAGAACCATGAAGTGAGCCGCAGAACCCTAAATTCAGGAAGTCTTTCTCCACCGTTGTAAAACTGCTACAGTGCACAATACTGTGTAGGTCGTAGCATTCGAAAATCCGCAAGCATCAGCAAGGAAGGTGGGGAAAGTGAAAGTGCTAGGGCCCTTGATTTCGTTAAGGTTCAAGCCTGCTGAGTCAGCTACCGCACTTCCATCTTCTCCACTATGACCGCAGAAAAAAATTGCTAAAATTCTTACATAGAGCGGCAGCTACCAATTAACGCGATATTATCACGTGGATCTTCATGTAAAAAATCGCTGCTCAAATACATCGCAAGCTGATCATCACCTGGCTGGGATGGCGTGATTTCAGCGTATGATCTAAGGTTTGAAATGTAGATTGTGGATCGTAACATAAAATGTAAAGGAGGTTAATGTGTGTAAAAGTCGAGTGGTACAGTGATCTGTTTAGTTACTGATCAAATGGCTCCCTCCTCCCCGTCCTTATGTGGTCGTGCTTGATGGGTAAGCCCCTGCTGTTGCTCTTGGTTACAGTAGTTGGGTGAGTGAGTGAGACAGTTATGATACGAACTCCGGTGGACTATAGAACGTCAAAAAAAACATAAAGGGGTTCTTTCCACTCTCATTGCCGAGTACTGGAGACGACCGCGCTGGGATTCCCTGAGTAGGAGGGCTTGAAGGGTGTTCGGAATACCAGATGGATAGCCTTATAACTGTATTTCTTGAAGTTACAATCTGGCGACAATAAACTACGCTGTATCGAATAAGCATGAGTGATTAGACTACCATGAAGCAATGCATAATGCGTGAGGAAGGGCTCGGAAGCAGCAGTTTGTCACTACTTCTGAATGTTCTGTATCCCAGATATCCCAGATATGAAGCCCTAAACCATGGAGTGGTGACGCTGCAACACGATATGAGGGCGTTCAGAGCAGTGCTCATTCGGTATTTTTCGCGTACTCTCCGAATAGAAGAGGTTGGGCTCTCAGCCTTACCAGGTAGGCCAGTAGATCAGCACGTAAGCAGTATATGGCAAGAGTCTGATCAGAGTTCGCCCTCTGTTGGTACTTGTACCAATGGGGTTTCTGATTGGCTAAGGTCGGAAAAGGGTGTATCGCTTGAGGATCCCTCAACGTGTTGCTGCCATCCCTCGCTCTATGGGTTTTAGAGTGAAAAAGTGGGAGAGATGCGAGAGTGTCGACTGGGGATCATGTCTTAGAATCAACTACTAAGAAACACCAGCGATAGTGATAGTGTGACTAGGGGTAGTATGGGGGACAGCTTCTCCTAAGCGTTCCTGGAAAGGAGGAGAAATCGTAATACTTCTGAAAAAAGTGTCAACTCTAGGGTTAGAGCCGATTCAGCACTGGTTTCGAGATTTTTTTTACATCATTTCATCCTTAATGCATCTCCCACGAGTTTTGAAGCACTGTAGCACTGCACATACCATTGTGAAAAAAGCCAAATAATTAAGAAGCATTTATCATGGAAAATATACTCACCGTCATCCTCGTACATGATCTGGAGAAAGGATGACTTCCTGAAGATTCCGTCTGCGATGCATGACTGTATTCCACATGCAGGTGCACTTCCTGAGTGGGAACAAGATCGGCCTCCTGATCGAACGTCAGGAAAACTGTCAGCTTGCATTTTCTTGCACGTGCTAGGGAATGTTCCACTGCGGAGCGGGTATCTTCTCCGATCGAAGACCTGCCAGGCAAAACGGCGACATCTTCAGCCTGAGCTGTAATGAGTTCCGGAGCACGAGCAGGCTCCACTGCCTTCTCAAGATCGACTTCTATCGTTTTCAGAGTTCGCGTGTCGGTGGGCCCAACCGACAGCGTTGCATCAGCTTCCGGTGTCAAGCAGCCTTTCACTGGAAATTTCCTCCTCTTCCGGTTTTCTTTGAACTTTCTCAGGCTCTCTTCGATCCGGTGCTTCTTCACCTTTGGCAGGCACTTGCTTCAGCTCATCCTCGTCGTGTAACTTTTCAGGGAGCTTCTCCTCTTCCCTTTGATCGTCCGTCACGGGAGATGGTTCTTCAATTTGAATGGCCTTTTCTTCCTCTGCTTTTGCAGGGACTTCTCCAATTTCATCAGTTTTTTCGTCTTTTTTAACCGTGAGTGCTTGCGTTTCCATCGAACATACCTCAGCCATTGCTTTCTGAATGGATTCCTCTACCAGCCTACGGACAAATTCGAAGCTTCCGGCCTTCAAATCCTGCCAGAGTAGTTTCGTCCTCTGGTAGTTCGTCCGGTGTCGATATTTCCTCATCAGTTGTCGGCTCAATGCAAATTTCGGGCACTTTCTCGAAAGTGTCGGATGTTGGTGTGGTAGCACCACTTGGAGGAATCACTGCGCTCTTCCCTTTCTATCTGATCAACCTCGTTGAAAGCATCCTCGAGCAGTCTCTCGGTCATTTCCATCGCAACAGCGGCAGCAGCCTCCAGAGCTGCTTCGTCGAATCTTTCATAGTCGAGCTCCATTTCTTTCGTTGAGATTCTTTCCTCCTTCTCTGTTACATGGATCTCTTTCTCCAGCTTGGCGAATTCCTTCTCGGGGAACATGCCAACTGTCTCCTTTTGCGCACCTTTGCTGACCAGTTGGACCACGTCTTTGTCGGCGAAATCTTCTGCATCAACGAGTTCAAAACCGTTTTCTGAAAAACAAAATAATATTTTCTGAGATTTTCTTCGATAGTAGGAAGTTTTGCAAATGAATTTATTTTAGATATAGGTGAAGATTCACATTGTCAAAATTTATTACTGGAGCACTAACTTTACCTGACTTCGACATAGCCGACTTCTGTCTTTCACAGCTTCTTTGAAGTTATCTTTCAACAGTTGCTATCTCAATATCTTTTTGCACGAGGCGTTTAAAATGAACCCATCCACGCTCGACAGCGCACAAGAATTGCATTCGAATGCTTGTGTGTCAATAGAATCATCCATATTGCCGCATAGTTGGACGTGGGTCCAACATCGCAACGGCAGCGGACAAAATCTGTGTGAGTCACTCGAACAGGGGGATGTCAACAGGATCGCTCGGTCGCGGTTGTCGCGACGCGGCAATTTTGCGGAGCGCGGAATCTTCGAATTTGACAAATGGAGCAGTTGATTGAAGTTGAATAGAAGGGGGCCTGCTTGGCGTCTCTGTAACATTCAAATTCAAATGACGCTCACAGAAACTCGTCCACTTCGGTTGCGACGTCGTATCCACGACCAGTAGCGATCCAGACGATTCTGTTGACATACACCCGAAGTTCGAATGGGGTCATTTGGCGCGATCACATTGGCATTAGAGCGCACAGGCCGTAATTGCCCATCCTGCTGTACCGGACAACTCGTCCGTATCACTCAACTACTAGACTTCAGCAATTGATCGACCTGATAATTTGGGTCTCAAAATCTCGCTGAGTCTCAAAGATCCTGAAAAGAGTGGATAGCTTCGTTGGCCTGATGCCAAGGCAAGAGGAACGGAACAGAATGTGTTGCGCGGACGAGTTGTCCGGTCAAGGTGTGGTAATTACGGCCTGTGCGCTCCAATGCCAATGGGATCGCGCCATATGACGCACAACCCCAAAGAGAGAATAAGGCGGTTAGCCCCTTCAACATTCAACAATCAGCCGACGGATAGTTCCAGTGACCTCGGACTCCTTCCTTTCCTCGTTACCAAATTTTGCAGAAATGAACCTCTGTTTCCAGGCGGGATAGAAATTATGTGTTGTGGCTTCTACAAGAATTGCTTTCAGAATGAAGTACCAGTGTGGATTGCAAGAAGTTCACCGCCCCTATCGTTAACTTCAGAAAACACCACGTCCTCCGAGGAGTTGCCGCGTGCGACGTCGCGTAAGGGGCCGCGCGTGGCGGGTACCCGACAGGAGGCCCGTCGCGCGGCAAGAAGGCAGAGTCAGCGGACGAGTCGCAGCGCGTGATGTGCGATGTAGGACGTGCAATGGGACATTCTATTTAACTTGACGCGAAATCACTACAGTACGCGCGCGACTCGTCCGCTGACTCTGCCTTCTTGCCGCGCGACGGGCCTCCTGTCGGGTACCCGGATGTGCGACGCGACGGGCGCGGATATATCTGGTGAACGGTTCTCAGGCTGAGGGCCGCCGGCGGCGCGTTCAAAAGTTTGTATAGTAGTGCTGGTGAATAACAACAATCAACCTGTTGTTCTCTTTGACTCCACTTCATATTCCCTACCTGTTCATTACCACGAATCCCTTGCTCAGAAGCAGTCCCGCTTGAGAAAAAGGAGGATTGGGTGGATAAATTGATGTAGCTGGAATTTTACCGATGGAAACCCACCTTCATATGCTATCGTCGGTTTTCCTTCCGTTTCCTGTACATCTTTTTCAAGCGATGTTTTCACTTGTTCTGCTACACCAACGCAGGCATCATCTTTGACAGAGTTCATTTGTAATGAAACGTCGATTTCTGGCTCTTCGAAAATTGATTGTGTGAAGACTTCGGATTCTGAACAACCTGTGTCTTGAGGAATCTGTTGTACAATCTGCGGTCACCACGAAGAAAACCTAAGACTCACCAGTGACTACTATTCTAGTGACAACGGTGTAGACACCGTCGATGACGACCCCGTATTCACCGGCATCGGCCGGTACAACTGAGATTATGGTAAGTGAATGCTGACGACCATCTTCGGAATCTTCGGCGATAAACCGTGAATCGATTTCTTTACTCTTTCCTCTATTCACCATCAGAGGATTTCCTTCCTGAAAATACGGAACCACTAGGGGCACCATTTTCATTGACTTTGCCGTCTAAGTTACTTGAAGAGTGTTCACGTCAGTTTTAAAGGTGGTTGTTCGCTAAAATCTGTTCCTTATTTCAAGTTCAAGGGGTTATAGCTAAGTCTTGTATGTGATCATACATAGACGACTATGCGCAGAGTTCCGAGCAAAAAGAAGCGAAACGCCGAAAAGAAACGTTACTAGATGAGTTTTGCTAAACGCTCTTGGAGAAGCTCATCTTCTGGACAGCTGCTGGTATGAAGGGTGGAGCCAAAGCCTAAAGACTCATGGAACGAAGCGAGTGGTAGGTACGGCCACGTGCGAGTTTTTAGAAAGGTCAGGAATGACGCTCAGGTTTGCGCTTCAACACACTTTCGCGCATGGTAACGTACTCCACTGCCAAAATTTGTGAGTCTTGGGGGGGGGGGGGATTTGAATTGCTTGTAGTCTACCTACTTTTCGGATTCATTGTCGGAATCAACGCATATGCTTCGTTCTTCTCTTTATCTTCATTCGGCCATGAGGGCATAGGGTGCCTAATTTTGGTGAAACAGGAGGAAGCCGGTCCCATGCACG